CCGCATCGGCGTCAGCACGAGCTACACGCTCCACGCCCTCCACGTAGCCCGCCCAGGGCGCTTCCAGCTCTGATACCAGCGCCCCGATGCACCTGCACCAAACACAATGATGCTAAGTTAAAATCGCGTCAAATACTAATATTCAGAAGAATTTGAAAGAATAGAACCACATAAATATCGAAAACGGTGAGAGATGGTTCTAATAAACATTGATCCTACTGATAATAATAATCTACACTGTCGTTCATATTAAATGATAAGGTTTCTTTGAAAGGTCCCTAAACGATGCCTCGTTAAAGCTGCAGGTCGTGATCGTGCGGCAGTGCGGCAGGGAGACCGCACGGCGCGGCAGGGCGCCGCAGTAATGTCCTCATAAACTTGTGTACACATTATATTACCTAGCGGCCTTTCTATCACAACACAAAAGTAGCAGGTACAAAATTGTATATTCAAAATAATTACCTACGACTTTATCGAGGGACAGCTTTCTAGGAACGTGCGGCTTCTGATTTGATAAATATTAGCAGTTTTTTTTACTCTAATGTTTAAGGGGTTTTTTGCCTTTCTTATGGGATCCCTAAGACTTTATAGTTAGTTTATAATGCGTGCTATTACTAATTAGCATTCGGGTTTGTGTAATAGTAAACTCCACTTTATATTTGTTTTGGTTTTATTTAACACTAAAATTGGGATGAATTTTATGTTGTTAACTAGCTGTTCCCGTGCGGCTTCAACCGCATGAAATTATAAAAATTTTACTTTATTGTTTACATTTGTCAAATTAACAATAGCAAATGTCAAAATGACATGACATGACAACCTTGGCAATTTTGCTTCCTTGATGTTGGTAGCAACTTATGGTCTCTTTCTCACATTAGGATTCTTATCCAAAATATTTACCTCCAAAGTTTAATGGCGTGAAAATAAATAGCCTAAAGCGTGACGTAAGTGTAGGGCTTTTTATTAAAAAGAAAATTATTCAAAAATATGCTGTAATTGCTGACATCTTAGGCAACAAAGAAGTGTGTGTTTACGCTTTATTATAATAGTATAGATTAATAGATTAAAAATTGTCTCTATCAGATCATTTCTTATTTTAGGAATTTCACAGAAAGTTCTAGATTAAAAAGTCCTTGAGCTGTCCGTATGCTAACTCTAATTGTCGTACCAATTAATCTCGACCAGACAAGACCTCAAGGGGTTTGGGTAATTCACTTGCGCACTCTCGTGTCACTGTAGTTTCGTCCATTTTGTATAGCCCGAATAAGTTTCAAGAGAGCAATTGAAATACGTAGTATTCTATTGAAGAGTTTTGTATCGCTTTACTTTTATAGTTTGTACGCATCCTAAATTAGTTTATTTATTTTAGTCCACACCAACACAAGATAAAAATATAGAATTAAAATCGTTTATTAGAAAACGACGAAAACCAAATTTTAGTTTTAACTAATCAATACTAATAGTTTATCCTCGTAAAAAAGTACTATTTTGCCACTTACCCTCGTGCAACGTTCAAGCAGTAGTGTTGGCAGGGGCTGACATCATAGCCTTTACAGTACGCGCAGCCCGCGGCCACCAATATCTTGTTCTGGCACTCCTCATTGCTGGTGACCAGCAGCTGTTCGCTGGCGGTCAACGCGCTTGCCCCCACCGCTAGCACTTGCAGCAGTACGCGCGCCGCTTCCATTGAACGTGATAGTGATGAGCCCAGCTGAAAGAAAATTATACTTTAGGCTTTAGTTAACACGTTTGTTGGCACCGGTTTGCCTGGCTTTACTTTAATATGATAAAATAGTAGTTCAATAAACTGATAACTGAGGTCAGGACAAACCTCGCTCGGTAGGATAAATGTAAAATAACTAGCTTTAACCCGCTACTCCGTTCGCGTAGAATTAAAAAAAAAATAATGAGTAGCCTATGTGTTCTTCCAGACTACATTCTACATCTATGCCAAATTTGATCCAGATCTGTTCAGCCGGCTAGAAACTCTAACAAACAACCATCCATCTAATCTTTCGCATTTATAACATTGGTTAGATAAATAAAAGCCAAAGGGATTTGTATTTGTGTATTACACTAATTGTAAAACACATTCAATTGTTCAAGTTTCTATTTCTCAAAAGATACAAAATAAATTACCTGTTGTGGTACTTCTCCGAATGGTTTCACCGCGTCGTACGCATCTTGCAAACACGCCTCGTACTCCGGC